GGTGAAATCAAGGATTTTACTTCTCATCACTGATTGGCTCAAAGCTGAGAAAGTAGATAAGGAACGAATGTGGCTGGCCATCAAGGTATATAACATGTTTATATTTTACGTTTACAGTCATCAAAATTTAAAAAAAGTGCATATCATTAATTTTTTGGCGTAGTTTGATACTACAACAACATTGGCATTGACTGGTGAAACTTTGAAGGAAGCAACGCTGAAGGTTATAAATACAGTGTGGAAGAACTTCGAAAGTATGCTTATATCTGATTACAAGAAGAAGAACCAAAATCCATGTCTTGCATTTCTGTATATTGAAAAGGACGTTTAGGAAAACTTTTGTGCCCTCAAGTCAACTCCAGAATTTGAGGTGTAAAATATTCAATATTTTTAGTGTTAATATATTCTAAATGTGAATTATTTCTAAATCCATTGGAAAACCGTCGTAAATCACCGACGAAAATAATATCCGTCGATAATCCGTCAAAATTACCGATAGATTTATCTGTTACAATTATCGACGGATTTGTGGTTCGTCGGTAATCCGTCTGTGATTTGCGACGAATTATCAACAGTTTATTTATGTTTTATTTTTTTAATACAATCCATTCAGCAATCTGTCACAAATCCATCGGTATTTACCGACAGATAATTTATCCGCCGCCGTTAATATACTCAATTGTCTAATAGTGAGGTATGGACAACCAGAGCAACTTTTTTAGTGGAACAAGTAGAGCAGATAGTTTGCCATGTGGCCAAATCATTTACTATAAAACATATGATTGAGAGTGAAATATGGTAAAGTACGTATGTGTTTTATGCACAAGTGGCCATTGATGAAGATTTTTTTTGATATGGTGATTGTAAATGACCATTGGGTTTTAATAGGATTTTGAAGTTTTACATGTGAAGTCATGAAAAGAGTTTGTGGCTTTGGTTGAAATGGCTACTACAAATCCATACACACACACACACACACTTAAAAGCAACACATTTTTACATGGTTTTAAGAAAAACGAAGCGTGTAAAAATATACATTCTTATACGTTTTTAAGAAAAGCGAAGCGTATAAAAACGTATACCTTCTTACACAGTTTTAAGAAAAGTGAATCGTGTAAAAATGTATATTTTCTTGCACGGTTTTAAAACAACCGTGTAAAATGTATACCTTCTGACACGGTTCTTTTGGCGTAACAATATAAAATGATACACATTTTACACGGTTTTTTGCAAAAACATTTAAAAAGATTTACATTTGTACATGATTATTTTCCCCTTTTTACATGGTTTAAAAACCATTTAAAAATGTGACTTTTTTTACACGGTTCCAAAACCATGTAAAAAGGCCCTTGACTTTTTTAAACGGCGCCCTTTTAAACAGTTGCAAGACCTTTAAAAATGTTCAAAAAAACCGTTTAAAAAACCCATTTCTATAGTGATGACGGTAGCCATCTCTACATCAAACTCCTTCCTATCCGGATGTCTATTTGATCAAGGAAACGGTCGATGTGGAGTATCTTTTGATGATTTCTAGATTTGGGTTGAAATCATCATCATCGAAACCATTTTGTTTTGACCACTTTGATTGAATGCGAGTGAGGAATCTGAAACACCCAGACTTTGACTACTAGTTTTTTGAGTTTAACTCTTTGAATTTGATTTTATCGTATGCATCTTTTTCTTTCGCTTCAAAGAAATTAAGATATGAAGGAAGCGAAATTAGGGTTTGAAATATTTATGTTTTATTTTCTTAATTGATGTGTGAATATACAAAAATTCATGAATTCATAAATACTCAAAACTAAATCTAATTATTAATCACGAATCGAATAACCTAATGAAATGATCACATAATGAAATTTACCAGAGACATTCATTTGAGTCTATAAAATTACAAAAAGAAGCCTATAATAAATGATGTAACACATTGATAGTGTATGATTCTTTTGTAGAGATTTTCTCATTATTTTAAATCTATAAAATATATTAATCAATATATGAATATATGTCTAGGGGTTCTTTCAAATATTGGTAGCTCAATAATTGGTGTTAACTATATACATGAATTAAGTTTATCTTTCAATTTGTCTAATCAACGGATGAAATTGATCAGGAATAATTTTGTAATAAGATTGAAACTGATGCGTATGACAACAATGAACAAGGGTAATGGGAGAAAGATGGAGATTTAAAATAGCAATAAAATACAAACCATATGTACGAAAATAACAATTTCTAAATCATAGGGAAGAAAATCGAAATAATTAACATATGGACGAAAATTATTATTTACTCTATAATAAATGTTAGTAACTCTATTTTTATCTTATTTACAGGAAATAACAGTAATTTGATCCATCTCCATCTTACCAACTCTAGCAAACCGATTCATTAGTAATTACATGTTCTTTCGAGATTTATACTTTCAGCTTAAATTAAATAATACATTCCCAATAGCCAAAGCTAAACATGCATCCACCATATACGAATATCTGTTTCTTTAAAGATACCAAAAAAACGAACCTTATAGGCAAAACTCTTGTATGTATTGTATTTTATCATTATATATTTGGTAATCTATCAGTAATTCCTTAGCAAATGGTTAATGAACAAGTATCAAACTTATAAATATGTCTAGTTAGACCATGGAAAACCAACGCATGCGAATGTCGTATAAATTTACCCTTATTTTTGTTGTATAAGAGTTTGATCCGTTGTAGAATACGGGTAAATTCATGATGTCTGTTGAAAGATTTTAATAATGTGATAGTCAATTATAATCCCATGAAATATTTAGTAGAACTTTGAAATCTATAAAGTCCTTTGGCTAAATTAATGTTCGATATTACCTATCTTGAATCTAATTCATAAGCCGGTGGTCTTTGTGAAAACAGTTTTTTGGAATATATTAATAAAATTTGCATATATTCTATGCTTATAACACCTTGCTTACAAGTGAACTCGATTGATTATGTTTGATTTGGTTTTATCTTGAATCAAATAGTTATAAACTAACCATAAGGTGGTGCCTGATTGATTTGAGTTTGGCTTCAAAGGTCAAAAATATCAGGAGGTTCCAGGTTCAAATACAAAAAGGAATAAAAATCCTCTTGTGGCCATTAAGGTTCAAAATCTCCAAACTAGGTAGTCGTCTTAGTATTAGTCGGCTTGCATAGCGGGTTGGATATCCAGGTTAATTAAAAAAAAAATAGTTATAAACTTGATATCAACGCGATTTTTTGGATTCTTTATAGTTATCCTTCAAAATACATATTTGCTCATAAAGATATTATAAAAACAAAAGGGGACATTTAAGAAGCATGTGAAATATCACAAGTCTTTGAAATAGAGTAGGAAAATCTAACACTGTAGGATACGTTGTCAATTGGCTATTTGCAATTACAGTTGAATTAGATATATCGATTTTATTGCAGAAAGATACATTTTCTTTTGGGTTGAAGAAATCTCAAATAAAACGTTCAATTATGTCTTAAATTGACCCATTTGTGAAAGATTTTCTTCCGTTATTTTTCTTTACATTAATTTCCATAAGAAATTCAATTTGAGTTGATGAAATTTTTATTTCATACCAGTTATTTGATATATTATTAATAATTTTTGTATGATAGATAGCTGAATAAATAAACATAGGTATAAACATTAACTGTTGTTCGAAATACAAAAAATACAACATTTCTTGAGCTTTAATCAGGGTTGTTCCTTAACATGTTAAATGTGAGATTTTGAACAGGACCTCCAAGATTTTGGGGCCCAAATTTACATGTGTTTAGTGTCTTTTTTTTATCGACCTGTGTAAAACAATAGCCGAAATTATTTAGGTTCAAACTATTAATCGTTTGGTTTTAAATTAATGATTTAGGTTCAATTTCATATTGTTAATCGTTTAGGTTTAACTCATTTTTGTTCTTAACATATATTTTCTGTTATCTCATTTATACAATGTAATACAAAAATTTGGATGTAGCAAGGCCTCCAAAAAGATTGGAACGTCCCTGGCTCTAACAGCAAAGGAGGTTCAATTCCTATATATTAAATGCATGCCAGTAGGACCCTCGAAAGGTGTATGGGGGCGGCCTCTTTAGAAATTGAGTACGATCAAACCGAAAGACTTGATTGATCTAATAGTTTCTATATAAAATCAAAGTCATGATAAAGTTACTAAGAACTCATAAATCTCATTTTTTATCAACGTAAGAGAAGTTATCACAATCTTCACCCCCAATTAAAACTTTACAAGTCACATTTTTTATCAATGTGTAATGAGTTGTTACGACTATCAACAAAAAATTGAATACTGACTTAAAGTTTACATATGTACCATGCGTAATTTTTAGGAATGGTTTGAATTTAATTGTGTAGTTCTTGTAAGCAGTTGCGAGAAAATATTTGCTTAAATTATGATTCGAATTCCTTCCATCATATAAACAGTAAATCATCAATTAACAAAAAAGTTATCTTTACAAATAAGATTTTTTTGGTATATACACTTCTAAACCAAACAAATTGAGATAATTGTTACGTTGTTGGTCAAATTACAACTCTACGATTTCGACATATTGTAACTTATAATAAATAACATGGACCCCTTCTGGTGTAGTTTGTCACATGTCAAAACTCAAGAACGTTGAACCGACAAATTGAATTCGATTTTTGAAACAAATGATCTTTAGTAAGCATATTAATTTCACGTATCAGATAGACATATTCGAAATACCAAATGAAAAAAGTAATAATTTATTATTTGTTCAAAATATGTTGATACAGATAATTTAATAAAAGTCTTAGCTTCAACTCCGATAACACTGCCTAAAAATGCATTTAAATATAACTGAAAAAATATTGTATTTTTTTTATAGAAAAATGAGTTTCAACAAGACGTCTTTAGCAACGATTTGTTTCAGTATATAAGAAACTATTGCGACATGTCGTCTTTATAATTCATTTGGAATGATAAATTTGCTTTTAATGACAACAAATGTGAAACTCAAAATTCAACCAAAATTTAACATGGATCCACTTTCTTTGACTTGGTAAGTTATTGGTATTTTCTTGAATACATAGAACAAAATTGTTGCCTATCTCGTTAGCTTTCAAGTTAGGTTTTTCAGCTATAAAAGGAAAGCCCTCTTGTGTTTCTCTTCACCAAATTAAGTAAAGAACTTCAATTCACAAACTAGCCAGGATTTCCAAAGAAGGCATACCAGAGATGAGTTCCATGACTAAAGCTTTTATCTTGATTGCCATGGTTGCATGTCTCACCTCAACTGCGCATGCCATTGCTGGCCAAGCAACTTTCTACACACCTCCCTATCTTCGTAAGTACACAATCAACGTTAAAGTAAATTCATTAACGTCAATTCATGTAGCTTATATTGAGTTTTTGTTTGTGTTTTGTAGCATCGTCATGTTTTGGCTTTGAAGATCGCGGTGTGATGATTTTAGCAGCAAACAGCGGTTTGTTTGCAAATAGAGCTGCATGTGGGACTAGGTACCGAGTGACTTGCACCGGTAGAACCAATCTTGGAGTTCTGGCACCATGCACGGGGAGAAGCGTTGATGTTACAGTTGTAGATCTTTGTCCAGGTTGTGCAGGAAATCAGGTCGATCTTTCCCAAGAGGCGTTTGCTGTGATTGCGAATACTGATGCAGGAAGAATTAACATTGAATATAACCGGTAATTATAATCAAAACCTTGCGTGCTTTTTTCTCTAACTTATTTTTTGTTGGACTATTCAGCTAATTTTGACTTATCTTTTGATTTTCAGGATCTGATTTTATATCATGCATGTATATGTAAGATGTCAATAATAATCTGGCTTAATGAGTTTTCATCCAAAATAAATGAGACAGAAGGGCATTGTTACCATGCTTGTCTATGTCTAGCTCATGTAATGTATCAGTTGACTGAAGTGTTCAACTTATCAAATGTTTGTTTCTTTCTTATAAGAATCTATTTAATTCCATATTTTCTAGTTTATATTTTGCTAGCTTGAGACGGTACATATATAAGATTAATACTACTATACGATACGCTTCGACCTAATTAAGGTTTACAAATAATAAAATAAAAAAGGATGGTTACGAAAGAGGGGCCGAAGGCAATTTTCTAAAAGAATTTTTAGCTAATGAGGATCCTGCCCTTGGCAAGACAACATCACCGAGAAACCTCTATCTTCATGGTCGATTTGTCATCTAACATAACGAGACAACTTCTTAAATTTATAAGAGTAACCATTATGTTGGGGGAAAGAATGTTGTTAAAAAATCCCTTTCTGAATTAAATTACGCCAAAAAATTCTGATTTTGGGTTAAATTATATATTGAAAATGTAAGGGAAAAAAATACTAAAAGGAAATCTATCTCCACAATCAGGGTCTGAATTCTTTGATGAATTCAAGAAAGACTGAAGGCATGGGCTGCATATTGTCAAGTTCCATATGGAGGAGATCTAGAAACATGATTTCTAATTAAGGGGGTTATAAAAAGCATGTTCATGATTTTTTTTTATCATTTTGCAGTACCAGGTGTTATCATGTCTTAGGGCTGATTTAAAAACATACTTTACCAGATAATATTTTCGATAATTAAAATTGCATTATATGTGCATCTGTTATCCGAGAAACGGTAATCAAGCAAGACTACCACAACTAGAAACTAGACTTTCACCTAAGGAAATTTCCGACGGAAATCAGTTTTCTGACGGAAATTGCCCCGTGGGAAATACTTATAATTACGTCAGAAAGTTTTCCCCACCAAATAATTTTTTACGATAAGTTTCAATGGGAAATCCGTCATAAATATCCATTTTCGACGGATTTCCCATGAAAATCAGTGAAAGTCTTGTTTTCAAGTGTACCACTCTCACTTACCGGGAAAGATACGCGGTTAGCAAAATGGCATGGAAAAATTGTCAACATCTTTACTTGGATAAGCGTCTCTTAGGAAGTGTTTAGTTAGAGGCAGGGATCAAGGATTTGGCGATGGTGGTTGGAATTAAGGTCATGATCATGTACGTAGTTGGCAAGGTAATTTATATATTTGCTTAAGGTGATAGCTAGCTATATAACTTTTTTCATTAATTTGGATGGATTACAAGATAGATAATTCAAATCCACTTTTTTAATCATCAAATAGAAAGCTAGTCGAGGAATATTACTACAATTATAACCATTACTATCAATTTCGGGTATTCATATTTTTTCAAAATCCATTTATATATCGAAATAATAAAACAATTAACAAAAATATAATAATTACACATCGCCAACATATCCTAACCCTAACAATTAAAATAAATATTTGGGCATCGACTAATAATAAACTCTAACCCTAACAATTAGACATTCATTAATAAACCCTAACTATAACAGTTAACGATTAACGATTAACCAAAAATTAAAAATTATACACCAACGAACAAACCATAACCATAACAATTTATATAAACCATAAGGGTGGTGCCTGATTGGTTTGAACTTGGCTCCAAATGTCAAAAGTACCAGGAGGTCACAGGTTCAATATTGCTTTCAAGTATTTATATGACATATGTACATATATATATATATACATACATGAAGTCGATGGCACGTTGAATCATCAAGATTGATAGATTAGATATTGAGGGAAGATCATTTATATTAATTAGTAATTTTTTGTTGTTTCCTACATTCAGTTCTAGAGGGAGAAGTTATAAGAAGGCTTTGAATTTTGCTTTCAAGTATTTATATGACAACGTATATATGATTATATAGCTTCTATATTTTGTTAGAAAAATTATCTTCAAAAATTATTCAAAATGGATGCCAAATATCATCGTTGAAAATTGAGCACCAAAATCCAACGCCCTTCATAATACACTCTTGTGTTGATCGTTAGTGTATAATCACATGTGTTTTGCATGTGATTTGACTGTTTTCGTGTTCTTTTACACAACTGTTTCTAAATAAGACTCGAGAAAGAGAAAGGGAAAAGCAAAAATGTATGTCCATTTCACGTTTAGGGTTCATAAATTTTTCAAATCATAAGATAATTAAATGATCTTAAAGCCAAATTCATATTTCAACATTATCTAATAAGTTAATAAGATACGTGTATATTATCGAATATGCCCATTCTTTATAAATAAAAATATCGGTTAACGGTGGAATCGAAGCTCTAGCACTTGGAAACATTGTTAATTTCTTAATAGACGACATGTACCTGTGTCAGCTTTCCAAAATTGACGATTAGTGTTGACGTGAAAATGACTAATATGTATTTACTAATTAGTGATGCGAAATTAAATGAACCCATCTAAATTCTATATATGTGATGCTTCGATCCCTACTAATTTCCCTCCATATAGACATCAATATCAAAGTTCCATTTTTAATTCCAAATGCTATATATGAAATAACCTAAAGCGGGGTCAAAATAGCAACACCCTTTTCTAATACGTTGAAATGAACAAGATTCTCTTTAGTGTGTAAAAATTTAAAAAAACATGTGTAACAAGAGGTTATTGTTTTGTAATTAGATCATTTATGTCAACCATCCCCTCGCAGCAACCTGGGTGCACCTTAACTCCTTGGCAAATCGAAACCCTTAACCTCAAACACCCCCTCCCTCTTGTTTCGGACCTTACGTTTGATGCTAGTCATGATTGTCTTCATAGACAGCCTAGAGGAGTGGTTAGGTGGCATGTGTCACCGTATTGTTCCTCCGTGGTAAGGTAAAAAAAAATTAGGTTCGTGAAAGATGCAACCGTATCCAAAACTTCTTGGGTCTGTCCCTGATTGTCTTGCCACTTTCAGACTTGATGAGTCTGCATATGATCAATCTACAACCACTCCTTCAAAGTGACAAGCTTCCAACATCTCCTCCATTTGTTTTTACCCTTTCTTTATTTTTATTTTGTATTGTGATGAATGATGATGCTATATTTTGAAGTTTCTGTTTGGGATTATGGATGGCATTTACTCTTTGATTTTCATTTTCACCCTTTAATTTCTTTTTCTGCATCCAATTCATCGTAGAAAGATCTTGATTTGTATTTTTCCTTTCGGCTTATGTTCAAATTGTCATTTACACGTTTATGGTATTGAAATTTAATATATGGGTTCTTGTCTTTTTCTTTTTGGTCATTTTCATTGGATTTTGATTTTTCTATTTGAAATCTTCAATAACATCTCCCTCATGTTATGTTAAACTTTTTACTTAGAGAAATATATTTGTCTAAAACGATTGTTTTTATGTGTGATTCAATATTTAAATCACTAAATTTGTGTTTTTTTGTCATAAATAGAATACAGTTTTATATAGAGTACAAAAGTTTTAGCACTATACTTTGTTTGATCTTTCCGGAGTTCATTCTCCAGGCAACTCCGTTTAACGATTTGAGCTATGGACGAATATGCAAGCACTAAAATAGATGAGTTTGGATTAAAAAAAACATTTTGTTTAAAATAGTTGAAAACAATATTTTTTTAAACAAAATATCAAGTATGCATATTCAAAAATAAAGCAATTTTGGGCAAGAATAGATAGATGACTAGTTTAATGTATTGGCTTTTAAAAAAAATGATTTCTATTTTGTTGAATACGTACAAGAAAATTGTTGCGTGTCTTTATTAGCATTCAAGTTTGGGGTTTCAGCTATAAAAAGGAAGTTCTTGATATGCCTCTCTTCACAAAATTAAGCAAAAAAAATTCACAAAACCTAATTTAGGGTTTCCTACAAGAGACATACCGAAGATGGGTTTGGTGATTAGAGCTTTGATCTTGTTTGCCATGGTTGCATGTCTTACCTCGATTGCTCATGCCATTGCTGGCCAAGCCACTTTCTATACACCACCCTACGTTCGTAAGTACACATACATCGATCATAAACTAAATTCGTATATGTTCATCTAGCTAGCACTTTTTGAGTTTTCATCGTGTTTTGTGTAGCATCATCGTGCTATGGGTTCCAAGGTCGAGGTGTTATGGTTGTAGCGGCAAACCACGGGTTGTTTGCAGGAAAAGGTGCATGTGGGAGGAGGTACCGTGTGCGCTGCACCGGAGGAACCAATGCAGGCGTTCCACATCCATGTAGAGGAACTAGCATCGATGTTACAGTTGTTGATCTTTGTCCTGGATGCTCAGGCAATCAAGTTGATCTTTCCCAAGAGGCATTTGCAATGATTGCTGATCCTAATGCGGGTAGAATTAACATTGACTATCACCGGTAACTTTAAACCCCTTCTTTTTCCTTCAATATGAATTTTGATGACTTTCGCCTAATTACATAGAACTTGTTTTTCAACTTTCAGGATCTGATTTATATAAAAGTATGTGCAGAAGAAGTCACATTTGTGAGTTTCCATTATGTAGAATGAATGAGACTCCAAAGCTTAATTCGTAAGCATGCTAGTCTATGCCTCTTGGCAGTATTGTATCAAATGTATCAGTTGTTGAATAAAATAATTGCTTACGATGTTACAATTATCAAATACCAGACAGATTGATGAAACATACACAAAGGAATACCAATCAACAAAAGAATCTGAGATGTTAAAGTTCTATCAGTTAGATTTGGATAATTTCTCCTAAAAATATGTTGAAACGTCTTTTCTCTTCTCAAACGCCTTTTTGTAGAGTAATCCAATAAAGGATTCCACACATTCTTGCATATTATTAGATCTAAGGTCTATCACTCTAAAGATCAAGATCATCCGTGGGGGGGAGGGTGAGATGGGCACATACCCAGGGCCTATAAGATAGAGGGGCCCAAATGGTTTTAGTATTTAATAGCAATTCAATAAAATAGTAAATAAAAGTGACATTTTTAGTACCTAATAGGACCCCAAAAAATTAGTATTATATTAAGGGTCCAAAATATATTAAATAATTACATTGGAGAAGAAAAAATATGTTAAAAGTTAATTGGTCGTTCATTTTATAGTATTGCGTATTGTTTCTCGAAGTTTTTAGCTTGTACTAAGTCTAAAATGACTTGTCTTGAAAATCTTGAGATATTATCCATCATTTATCTCCCATCGGCTCTTTTGATTGTTCCATCCGCATGAATTCTATTTTTGTATGAAAAAATAATAAATTTCTTGTTAGTAATGAAGAAAACTCTTATCTTTAAGAAAAAAATTATCAACCATATGAGACGGTCTAACTTGTATCTATATTTATGATTTCAAAAGTACCCATTATATTTTCTTACATTATTGACTTCTTATTACATAATACTTAATGCATAAAATCTTAAGTGATCTTCTATTTTAAAACAAGAATAAAATATCAAATATAACCGACATGAGCTTTTGATTCAAAGATTAATGGTTTTGAGAAATATTGTTTTATTCCTAAAAGTTTAAAATGGTAATGAAAAATATTACATCGGGTAAGATGTGAACGCAACTGATTTATATTGATTAAGATATAGTGTTACTTCGAATAGTAAACATTATGACCCAATTGATGTCTATCTATATATTAAAGGTATATCGTAGGTTGTTTTCTTTCTTGATGGTATATATACTTGACGATGCTAAGTAAAAATGATACGGTAGATAACTTAATTTGGAAACAATTATTGATTCAGTTTGCTTCTGTGAATACTCAAAAAAACGGTTTTATATGAATTATTAGATTCCTTGAATTCAATGTTTATTCTGATGGTAAAAACAATACATTGAAAAAAGTTCACACTTATCGACGACCCTTTTTTACACCTCACCCAGGATCTATAAAATGTCAGGAAGAGGCTTGCTAAAGATTCGACAATTTAGGACGGTCTATGCCCATCTAGGACCCTCTCGACACTCCGAGACAATTTGTACCCGTCAAAAAATAAAAATGTGGTACAACTTGTACCATGCCTCAAAAAGAACTTGTAAATTAGAAGTATTTTTACCATTCAAAACAGATGCAAGTCATCATTTAGGTCGAGACGATTTATTTAAGCGGTTTTAATAAGAGAATTGATTTATTTATTCAAAAATAGTCTAATAACTTTTCCCTTAACAAAAGGATAATATTCCGTTAATCTTGATTGATCACCCAATATGTTCCAATCCAATTTTTTCACATTAATAATTATTTATTTAAAACTAATGACTTTAACTTTTGTTCGCAAGCTTTCATTGATATTTTTGTTATTAGGACATATTGTACATATATGATCCATATTGCTACTTAGAACGGATACACCACAAACACAATCCTTTGTAAATCCGTCGCTAATTAGCGATGGAATCCATGAATCTCGATTTTAAAAAAATAGAAAATGAAAATCCAAGTGTTTGTCGCTAAGTAGCAATGGATTTTCATTTTAAAAAAGTAAAATTGAAAATCTACATTTCCGTCGTTGATCTGTCCTTCGTTAGCGCCGGATGGATTTTCATTTTAGAATAAAAAATAAATTTCACGTGTCCATCGTTAATTAGTTGCTCATTTAATCCTGTAATTGTTTTTAAAGTTAGCGTCTATTGAGAAAATTTGGGATGAGTGTGCTATTACTTTTAAAGGACGTTGGATATGAAAACCTTGGGGCATACATATTGCAAGCATGAGTGTAGGTTTTAAATGTTTTATTTGCACTTTTTTCCTATTCATTGGAATTACTGTGTTTTTTATCGACAAAATCCAATTTTGATTTTCGTTGTGAACAAACATTGTTCTTGTGAAAAGGATATACAAAATTAAATGTTGTAATATTAGTTTTGGATGATTGAAATGTATATGTACGTTGTATTAGAATGTATTTATAGTATAGATTGTATAGATATTCTAGATTATTCGTTTCCTTGTTTATCTCTTGCCTAATATTGAGGCATTGTAAATATATATATTGTATGCTTGATTCATGGATTGAAACAGAGAAAATTGTGGGTCTTTGGAAACTTTTATGGTATCAGAGCCTATTACCTTTTACCCTAATATTGCCGTCACAACCCTCTTCCTCGGATCCCTGCAAATTTTATTTTTTACTTCCTTTTTTCTTGCTCACGATCAAGATGACCGGCACCGGTAACGTCACA